TTCTCCATACACCATGCCATGACCAAACCAGCTAGGAAATGCAAAAGGCCATCTTTACCTCTGGGGCCACACTTCTTACAGTACCTTTCCTCCCCTTAATTGTTTAAATTAGGAAAATGTCATTCTTATATTTATCTAATTGGTGGTGACTGGCATGACTTGGAAATAGACAATCTCTGGAAGAGATAATAGTTATCCTCTGACAACCAGCTCCCCATTATTGGGCATACACCTACTTTAAAAAACATTATAGGAGATAAACCAGCTGAACACACTAAAGTACAAAGCCTGGGCTTTCCAGAGGAAAATTTTCCAGTTTCTTACCTTTTGCATCTGCTGATCAGACTTGGCCATTTCTGCAAAATAATCAGTGGGTCGCTTGGTAGGGACCTTGAGCTGATGGAGGCGGGGTAATACTGCAAGAACTGCAGCCTGGGCCTGGCGGTAGCTGAGATTGTAGGACAAAGTGTGAAATAAGGTGAGGGAGAGAGGCCCCACATTCCCTCTCACTGCCTCTCATGAGTTACCAAAGCTCAGAAGGATTCTCAACATCTGACATCCACTAGCAAGAACAAAAACAAACAAAAACCATAATAAAACCTCAAAGTTGGTATCTAGGAAAAATTTAGCTATACATCATTTTTTAAAAGGGGGCAAGTGAGGCTAAAAATAAATCAGTAGTTTAAGAGAATGATCACCCGAGAGGTACCCATTAACACACAACTAATGTCAATTATGAATTCTTATGTAATCACTAAAGCAAGCCTACACAAGACCCTTCCATAAGCAAAGTTTTGTTCTAACGACTGACTACATACAAAAAATACTTTTAACAGTGAGTATTTCAAAATAATCCACACACTGGACTTTAAATTATGACTGGTGGACAAAGAGGTTCTTCTGTCAACTACAGAGAATCTCCTAACACTTCTTAGTCAAAAGAAATCGTCCTCCCACTCGCAGGTTTATGCTAACTCCCTGGTGCTTCTGAGGAGTGTAGGCTCACTACTTTCTCCTCTTCCCCGCTCTCTAGCACAAGGAGCCCCAACTTCTCCACATTTGAAAACAAACATACAAACTCATCTCCCTCTGGAAGTCGTCTTCTGGATTAACAGCTCGCTGATCCTTGTTCTGAGGTGTTGGTTGAGGTCCACTGATTTCGGGCACTGGAGCCAGGGTCACATCGAGCCTTTCAACCCACTCCAGATCCCGCTCGAATTCAGCTAAACACTGCTTCAGACCATTCTAGAAAGATCAGACACTGAGCTCTTAAGAAGGAAACCCTGAGTCTGTTTCTCCCAAGCCCAGGGTGCTAAGCCAACGGACAAAGCGCTAACCCCCAAACCCAGACGGGTAACTGAACCTCTTGGCAATGGGCACGTTGCGTCTTTCTTGGAACAAGAATCGGTTTCCCAAGCACGACAGTGCCTTGTTCGCACCCCATCTCCGAGTACGTACTCCCCGACCCGGCGCCCGAGCTCACCACATTGTTCACGGCCTTCTTCGGCCCCTCTAGCACGACATTGAGGCCCGGCTTCAGGAGCCCTCGGGAAAATGCATCCTGCAACTGCAGCACACAATTGCGGTCAGTACCCGAGGAATAAGGCCCCCTCTTCCTCGCCCAGCCCCGCGAGCTCAGCTGACAGACACCTACCTCTCTGTCTGTGACAAGAGAATCATCAGAATCCGAGTCCGAACCTGACAGAGGGGGAGTGTCCATCTCTCAGCGCGCACGCCCAACACCTACAGGAAGAAGCGGGATAGCCCGCGCGGCTGGCAGGGGGTGACCCTCGCCGCTGCTGCCCGCCTTCAGCCCGCTACTCTCACGCTGCCTCTTCACGTGGACGCGAAAAGCACCGGCGCCAGCAACTCACCGCTCCTGTCCAACTTCCCGATCGTCAACTTCCGCTTCCGGCCGCAGAGCCACACTTCCGGTTTGTCGTTGCTATAGGAACCGCTCGGCGTTTGAGTGTGCCCTGGCTACTTGGGATCTGTAGGGGTTGTACCTCCGGATACGTGCGTGGTCTGGTGACCCAGAAAGAAGAAGCGAAAGGTGGGAGGGGGCACCTGGGGGTCGTCGAGAGAAGCTAGAAGCCGCAAGGGAGCAAAGGAAAGGGGAAAAGAAGGAACCGCGGGCGGGGGGGGGGTGGAGAGTCGGAGGAGGA